GGTATGAGATTTCAATTGTATATTTGCTTTTTATCTTTGCTAATTTTATCATTGAATTCTTTAATATTTCAATTATTTGTCTGTTATATGTAGGGATTGATTGATACTATAAAGATTGTCCTTCCTGAAGCACATCATAGGTTTTGTGTAAGACACATTGAGTCAAAATGGTGCTGAAGATGGGGTAAAGGTAAACTAAAGAAGTTGTTATGGTGGTGTGCATGGTCAACTTATGAAGAGGAGTTCAAAGACCAACTGAAAGACTTAGGCAATTTAGATGCAGTTGTGCAAAGGATCTGTTGGATTATTCTCCCCAGACGTGGTGCAGAACTTACCTTGACACAGTATGCAAGAATCAAGCAGTTGACAACATTCTAACCGAAACTTTCAATTATTGTATACTAAAAGCAAGGCACAAGCGCATCATTGGGATGTTGGAGACTATTAGGGTCAAAGTAATGAATTTGTTGAGAGAACACGAGGAGTCAGTTGTGAAATGGACTGGTGAATTCAGTCCTCGGTCAATGAAGTTGTATAATGAGTAACTGAAGATAGCACATATCAGTTGTAAGGTTAAGAGCAGTGAAAACCATGGATATAGGATATTAGAGGGATCTGACAAACACATTATAAATCTAGTGATGAAGAGGTGCACTTATAGGTCATGGTACCTTGTTGAGATCCCATGCCCACATGCAATTAAGGCCTTTCAATACAAGAAGATTGATCCTTTTTACTGAAATGCATTGGTATCATAACAAAGAGACATTTCTCCTAACATTCAAGCATAAGTTGCAACCTGTGAAGGGAGAAAATTCTGGAAAATAGACCCTTCTCAAGCAATGGCACCACCGGAAATGGTCAAACTTGTTGGTAGGCCTAAGGTGGAGAAAAGTAGACAAAAAGATGAGGCTATTAAAAGGAAAGGGGAATGGTCTGCTGCAGGGAAGGGTAGAGTAATGGCATATGGCAATTTTGGACAGCCAAATCATAACATTAGGTGTCACAACCCAAAATTTCCACCGTCGGGACCGTGATGACGCCTAACATTTCACTTGCTAGGCAAGCCAACGTTAGAGAAACATTAAACCAAATCCTTATTTCCATTTAGTAAATAACAATAACTAGCTAAGATGAAATATAATAAGTGCGAAATAATATAAAATTGCCTTAATTACTACCACCCGGATCTGGAGTCACAATTCACGAGCATTCTAGAATTCACTACAAGCAATAGTCTGGGAGAAATACAACTGTTTGAATAAAAAGAACAGTAAAACATAAAATATAGACGGGAACTTCAAGGTTTGTGAATGCCGACAGATCTACCTTGAGTTTCTGGATAGCGGGTCCAACAACAAAAATCTCGATCAACCCGAACCGGTACCAAAATCTGCACAGAAAGTGCAGAGTGCAATATCAGTACAACCGACCCCATGTACTGGTAAGTGTCGAGCCTAACCTCGACGAAGTAGTGACGTGGCTAAGGCAAGGCACATACAAATCAACTTGTGCAGTTTAACAATGTATATACAAATAACAGTAATGAAGAATTAAACATGAGATATCGGGATGGGAAAACATGCTGGGGGAAATACGAGATAAAGAACTACAGCAGAATGATAACTGAAACAACCAATATATTATGAATCAACAGGAACACGGATACAGTAAAGGAAAAATACACGGTATCACCCTTCGTGCTTTTACTCTCAATCTCACCATAAAATCAATAAAAACGGCACGACATCACCCTTCGTGCATTAACTTTCATATCATGGCATGACATCACCCTTCGTGCATTAACACTCACAATATGACACGCCATCACCCTTCATGCTTTTACACTCACAATATGGCACGACATCACCCTTCATGCATTAACACTCACATTATGGCACAACATCACCCTTCGTGCATTAACACTCTCCCTTACCATAATGCAATGCATAAATAACAATAGGGAGATAGAATAACAAGTACAAGCCTTACTTCAACATTTGGTTCCACAATATCAATCTCAACTTTGAAATAAATTTTCAATTTTCACCAAAAAATCCGTAAACATGATAGGAACGATCAATTTAACAACGCTAATATAAACACGTAGCAATTAGGCATAGGAAAGAGACAATATAAGAAAAAACAGGAGAAAACACGGAAAACATGTAAGTTGGCAGCACATAAGTACTCGTCACCTCACACATGCGCCGCTCACATAAATTTCACATAACAAATAGTTTGGGGTTCTTAATTTCCTCAAGTCAAAGTTAGACATAATACTTACCTTGCTCCGAAAGCCACTTAATACTCAATCACATCTTTTCCTCTAGAATTCACCTCCAAATCACTTATATCTATTCAAAAGCGACTCAATAATATCAAATATTGCTAAATGAATTAATTACATTGCATAAATTTAGATTTCCCAAATTTTCCTCCAAAAAGTTAAAAATCGACCCCGGACCCGCTTGGTCAAAACCTGAGGTCCGGACCAAAATTCATTTACCCATTCAACCCTGAACCCGAATATATAATTGGTTTTGGAATCCGACCTCAAATTGAGGTCTAAATCCCCAAATTTTCGAAATCCCTAGTTTCTACCCTAACCCCTAATTCTACCATGAAAACTCTAGATTTTAGGTTGATAATTCATAAAAAGGTAATGGGTAATTGAAAGAAAATGGTTTAGAATCACTTGCCAACACTTTGGGAAAGAAAATAACTCTTGAAAATCGCCTCTAGTCCGTTTGATTTTGAGAAAATAAAATAAATGGCCAATTCCCGTTTTTGGATTCTGTTAAGTGTTGAGCGACAATGTGCATCGTGTTTGCGAGGCCACTGTCGCGTTCGCGAAGAGCATTGGCTGTCAAGCCTTCGCGTTCGCGAGACAGTGTTCGCGTTCGCGTAGGCTACCCCCCAGGCCTTCGCGTTCGCGAGACATTGCTCGCGTTCGCGATGAAGGAAAGATTGACCCCCCCAACCCCCATCACTTCACGTTCGCGACGAGCTTGTCGTGTTCGCGAAGGGTAACACCCTCGTCACTTTGCGTTCGTGAAATCGCCAATTAATCACTGCTTTATATGTTTATTTGGATATTGGACCAACTGAAACCCCTGATATTGAAACTTGTATTTCTAATCTACACAATCATTTACAAAACTTTATATAATTATTATGCTAACATTGTTGATGCTTCTGCTGCTGTAGATGTAAATATTCCTTCAAATTCAGTTTCAACATCTGCATCCGGTACTTTAGAGGATAACGATGGTGTTGAAGATTATTTGATTTGGTCTACACTAGGAGAGCATCAACAAACCAGTAGCAAGAACATTGATGAACTCCAATTCTCTTTGCAAAAGTCACCAGAGCCCCGCACAAAGGAATTTCTACCGCTGGTTTGGTGGAGGAGCAACTCAAATCAATTTCCTGTTCTTTCGGCCATGGCTCGAGACGTGCTAAATGTGCCAATTTCAACAGTCGCATCAGAGAGCGCTAGCCAAGCAAGGCAGCAACTAGGAGATACCTGTCATTCATTGGGCAGCAACGCTTTGGAAATTCTAGTGTGCTTCAGATATTGGATAAGATCAGAACGGCGAAATCAAGGGCGTGAAGAGGTAGATGAAGCGGAGGACCAAAAAAATGGAGATATAATAGTTTATGGTTCCGATTCAAGCGATGTCGGAAATCAAGAACCTCATGTTGACATAGATGAACTTACAAAAATGATGCAAAGCATGTGATGTACTCTTTCTTAATTTGTATAATTATTGTAAACTTTTAATTTGCAAGTTCAAAAATAAAAAAATCAAAATAGAACTTGCAAATTAATTTGAAGTATTATTTATTATTCAATAAAAATATAAAACGAAAGCCTTCAGAGTTTGATCCATGTATATTGCCTATTTGTCTTATTAAATAATTTTTTGTAGCCACTTACTTTCAAATTTCAAATTTTAAATTTTAATTCTAAGCCTTAAAAGTTTGCAAACACTTAAGTATCAATAACATTGAATAAGAAAAATAAAATATACTAAAAAAGATAAATATAAGTAACCCAGCCCGGTCCGGACCCGTTGAGCCCGATCCCGGACGGGCTCACAAAAAATCGCAAAATCTTCAGACGAGATGTTATGTAGAAATAAGATATGATTTGTGTGCGAGTCTAATTAATTAAAAGGGTATTGGGTCGGGTAACGGGGCGGTTCATGGAATATATGAGTTTATTTTGTTTGGGGTGGGTTATTCGTTTAGGAGGCGACACGTGGCTCGCTGTTTAAAATAAGAATATTTGTGACTGAAACTATGACAGTAAGGACCCTAGAGGTGAGATAGTAAAATGAAGATTTTTTTATACAATATTTAAAAGTTGAGGGATATAAATGACCCATTTCCATTTTTAAAAAGTGTCGAACTCCTAAATACATAGCCATAAATAGGGCTATGCATAATTTGGTAAATACCGAATTACCGTACCGAAACTGAAAATTTTGGTATTTGGTATTCGGTATGGTATTTGGTTTAATTTAAAAAGAGTGGTATTAGGTATGGTATTTGGTATTTTAAAATGAAATACCGAAATACCGACACCGTACCAAATACACATATTATTAATTATAACATAAATATAAGAAATCTAAAATTTTACTTTTCTTTATTATCTAAGTTCATCAATTAACCCTAAACAAGCAACAAGACATTTCTAATGATCAAATTTATTCTTTTATGTACATTTTTCTCTCTCCGGGTTGATATTTGTTAGTTTTGGACAAAACCTTTGTCAACAAACATTTTTAGTTTTGTACTTTTGAGTACTTTAATTAAAAATATTACAGTCTTTTACTCTACATACTAATTAGTATTCAAACTGAATAAACCGAAATTACTGAACCTAATAAACTTAAATCGAAAAGAAAAAAATCGAATCATACCGAATTTAATTAGGTACACTTAATATAACATTTTAAGAAACAAAAATGCAGTAATGATCGACAGAACACCCAGCCATAAATGTGATCACTCGTATCCATACCCGAGTCCAAACACCCATTCTCTCTTCCTCAAAAATCCCTACTATTCCCCCTCCCACTCAATCCATTAACAATGGCTTCCCCTATGGTCCTCGACCCAACACCCTTACCCAAACCCCCTTCAACCCGACCCGAACCCTCCATCCCTTCCTACCCCTCCGACGGCGAAGACGACCTCTACGCTCGTCTCAAATCTCTTCAACGCCAACTCGAATTCATCGAGATCCAAGAAGAATACGTTAAAGACGAGCTCAAAAATCTCCGCCGCGAACACTTACGTGCGCAGGAAGAAGTTAAACGGATCCAATCGGTGCCGTTAGTGATCGGCCAGTTCATGGAGATGATTGATACGAATAACGCTATTGTAGGGTCCACTACGGGGTCGAATTACTATGTTAGGATATTAAGTACCATTAATCGCGAGCTGCTTAAGCCTTCGGCTTCTGTCGCTTTGCACCGCCATTCGAATGCGCTCGTTGATGTTTTGCCGCCTGAAGCTGACTCGAGTATTTCGTTGCTTAGTCAATCGGAGAAGCCTGATGTTACGTACAATGTGAGTTTTGTAACTTTGAACTATTTAAGTAGGGTTTATGCTTAATTATACGTTGATTAGGGTTTATTATGCTTAAATATGGTTGTGTGCTGCTTAAATATGTTAAATCTGCTTAGGGATTGTGTACTGCTTGTTTCAGTAATTACTATTAGGGTCTTATTCAATCAATCAGTTAATCAACCATGACTCATTCTTGAAACTAGTTGGGTTTGTCTATATGAATTCTCTGTATTTTCTTAACTCTATTTGGCCAAATTTCGTTCCTATACTGGTAAGTCATTTGTGTTTTAGGGCAAATTAGAAGTTTTCTGAATCTCACACATATTTCAGCATAAATTTTACTTAGAGGTTTCTGTAGCTTCATCCTCGGGAAAAAAAGAAGACAGCTCAATTTTGATCTTGATTTTTTTATGGGACAAACTTCACTTATCTCATATAGTAGAAAGTCAAATTTCTGTAGATTTTAGTGACCATCTTATCGATGAGACACCTAGCTACATGTGGCTGTTGGGCATAGAAGAATATCTGTAGTTACAGAGCAAGTCATAATCTACTAATATTTTTAGGCACTATGGTCTCCTAAGGCTTTGGTATAGCGGTAAGAGGACATTACGTGATATGTGGGTTAGGCACACATCTTGGGTTTGAACCATGTCGTAGACAAAAGTTGTGTTTAAGTGGAGAAGGTAGAAGGGTGGTCCCATATTCCACCTAATTTCGCACCTTGTGTCGCTGTCTTCAAGAGGTGTGAGCGGTTGGCTTTGACATGTACGAGAAGAGTTAGAGGACAACCTAAGAAGTATTGGGGCGAGGTGATCAGGCAGGACATGGCGCGGCTTCAGATTTCTGTGTGGGGGTCGAGCATTAGGGTTAGGGGGTAGTCGAGCATTTTTCCCTCTTTGTATCGGATAGTCTGATAGAGTTTTGTCTAAGACTGCTAGCGGTTTATGTTATGTTCACAATATTTTTTTGTTTTGCATAGTATTGTGCTATTGCCCTTCCATTTATTAGCTGTCTCTTACGACATTATTTTTCTGGTTTCTTTTGTGGTTACAAATCTATTCTTTTGTTTCTTTTATGATATTATTGTCTCTTCTGTTGAGCTGAGGGTATCCCGGAAACCGTATCTCTACCCTTCTGGGGTAGGGTTAAGGGTAAGGTCTGCGTACACTGTACTCTCCCCAGTAAAATCCCACTTTTACTGGGTGTGTTGTTGTTGTGTCACTGTCCTCAAGGATTCCTCGGTTAGAAAATAAAAATCTTGTAGGTTCTATGACGTTTCTGGATAACTATTAATTAGCTTGTTCTAGAGCTGGTCAATTGGCTTTCAGGGCCCATTCTGTATACTTGAGATAAGTTGTGTTTTTTGCTGAAGGACGGAAGAAGAGTAGTTTTTATGTTTGCAAAGCTTCAATAAACCATTTTGTTTCATAGATTTTGAAAGCTCTTTGGCACCCTTCCTTGCAAATTATCGTTGGACTTCTAAAGGGACCATCTTCCAAGTTTTGTGAAAAGGAACTCTTATAGACTTCTAAGGCTTTTCGATTATGTTTCCTTCACATTGTCCACCTTTTCGCAGGTCATGATTTATTTGTTAGTTACCGAGCTTATATTTTCTAACAACAGGATATTGGAGGATGTGACATACAAAAGCAGGAAATCCGTGAAGCTGTTGAGCTACCTCTGACTCATCATGACTTGTACAAGCAGATTGGTATAGATCCTCCCCGTGGTGTCTTGCTCTACGGTCCACCTGGCACTGGGAAAACTATGCTTGCAAAGGCTGTAGCACATCATACTACCGCGGCTTTCATAAGGGTTGTTGGCTCAGAATTTGTTCAGAAGTACTTGGGTGAGGTATGTATTGAAGCCTTAGAATTCCCAAAACATTGTCATTTTTATGCATCAATATATTGTTAATCACCAGTGTAAATGTCTGCTAAATCTATCTTAATAACATCATATGGGACAAAGAGTGGTCACTTAAAGTTCTTATATTTCCTTAAAAGAGCTTGAAAGAGCATTCAGTCTCTTCCTATGGTCTATATTTTTTTAATTTCCTATGTAGTAACCTTGTTTGGGAGTGAGAATAAGGCAATGAGCTATTACTATCTCCTTCGAAGTTGTATGACCTAGTTCGCTTTATGAGGATTCACTAGATTAATGTCTAGCATAGGATATTAATTTATTTGTTTCTTTTAAATTAAATATTATAAATATAGAAACCATTGAAAGAAGCTACAAATATAGAAACCATATGAAAGATGCTACCCGATTTTTAAATTAAAAAAAATAGAAATCATCAAGAAAGTTGCAACTAAAGAAGAATATTGTTGACTGCCTTTATCAAAAAAAAAAAAATGTTGACTGGGGGGCATGATCCTGCTACTTTAGGCTGTCACCCTGCACTTGTTGATGCGTTGGGTTCAGCAAACCTATCCAATATAAATCCAAATAAAGGACAAGTTGAAAAGAGGTGATTAGCAGAACAGCTTTCGTCAGAATCAAATATGTTTGCTTTTCACCATCCTAAACTCTTCCAGTCTGTCCGTCATACAGAAGTGTTGTTGCATCACAACCACCATATAGGCATATAGACGTGTGCTTGGTGATGCATTTCTTTGATCATACTACTCCGTTGACAAGGGCAGTATAATTGCTAAGAACTTGTTGTTATATAGTCAATTTTTTGACCATAAAGTAGTTTCAGAAGCATGTTCGAAAAGAAAAGTGCTGAGTACCTCATATAAACTCTTTGACCTTAATAGTACCCATCCTTAAGGCCAGTTGCAAGTGTAAGTGAACTAGATAAAACGGAATCATATGCCTGGATCATAATAGAGAAGGGAGGTCCATGGGACTCTTAACTTGCTTAACAATGTTAAAAAGAAGGTCTAAACAACAGTCCACAAGAATACTTCCTTCATATTATTCTGGGTTGCTTTTTCATCAGCAGTCTTGGTATATTAAATTATTAAGATTGAACTAGATAAAGCAGGATCAATTAAAGAAAAACTTCTACTACATTTCTACTATTTGAAGATTCTTCAATTTCTAAGAACAATCTTGGAATTGGTAGATCCATAATGCACTTCCCTTGTCTGCTGACCTATAAACCTAAAGTGTCGGAGTTACTGTTACTTTTTAAGTTTATTCTATAGGCCAAATGGCCTCGTGACCACTTAAACTTGTATCAGTTTGTAAACCCGATACATAAACTTATATTTTTCCCCTTTGAACACTCCAACTTGACATAATAGATACGAAGAAACACATTTGATTGTTGACCATGCTTATGTGGAAGTGGCATAGCTGACATGGCTAAATTGTGTGCAAATCACGCTGCCAAGGCGCGTGGATAATTTTTTTTTAATTAAAAAAATATTAGAATCAGAATAAAACATAAATGAGAAAGAAAAAAGAAAAAGAAAAAAGACCTTTCCCTCCCCTCCCCTCCCACTTCTCTCGTCTTCCCTAGCAAACTCCCACCCCATGTCCGAAAAAAAATTCCATTTTCTATCCTACTTTCCCTCCCCCTCCCCTTTCCCCGTTTCTTTTTCCCTTCATCTCCCCCCTTCAATAATCTTCTCTCTTATTTGTTAGTCTCCACCCACCTTTCTAGTCCCAACCTCCCTCAATTCCTCTATAACTCGCACCTTCACCCATTATTCGTTGCCATCAACCCCCTTCCCCCCTTCTCTTCTTCTTCCTTTTCCATTTCTCTTCTTTCTTCCATAGTACACTTAGTTGGTAGATTGTAGCTGATAGATTGCAAATGTGAATTAAGAAAAAATTAGGTTGCTTTGATAGAAGAACAAAAAAATGAAGTGTAATTTTTTGTCTTCAAAGTAATTCACAGATGGCATTTAGTGAAAATACTTTTAAAATAAATATTTNAATTCAACAAATTTTGTTTTAATTTGAAAAAGTCTCTAGGGCTTACTCCTTACTAAAAAAACGCTCCCCAAACGCTCGAGTGTACGCCCCGAACGCCCGGGCGTACGCCCCAAATTGCGGGGCGTACGCCTCTTGAGACTTTCGCCCCACACCATCGCCCCAGAGAGTTTTTGGTACGCCTCGCCCCGGGGCTCGCCCCAGAAACGCCTTTTAAAACAGAGGTTGACCCCCTATTTCCCTAAGTAAATCCTTCCTATATGTATGTATTTTTTTGTTTAAAAAATGTAAATTCAAAATGTATTTTGACTTTGCAATGTTGTTACAATCGGAAAAGGGTCAAAATTGCCCTATCGTTTGGTAAATGGTTTAAAATTACCCTCCATTCACCTTTTGCTCCAAAAATACCCTCATCGTTATTTTTATTGCTAAAATTACCCCTCGATTTAATGGCAGAACTTGTGGGCTACAATTTTAATGTGTTGGCATCTTTTTACTGGGCACATGGCTCTTTGGGTCAGACAACAAATATGGGTAATATTGCCTGCCCCATTATCCGCCCGCCCCATTCCTTTATTACCCGGTTAAAAAATAACCTTTTATAAACAACATAACCATTACCAAAATATAGCCCAACTAAGTTTTTCTTTGAATTGACTCCGATATCTCATCACTTGACTCATAATCGTTCATTACAAACCTTGGCCTCTTTTGTGAATAACTGATCCCTCCTCCTATGTCCATTCTGTCATCTTTCTTTTTAATAATTAAACAACCAGAAGAGCTTTTTTTCTTCGGTACAACCCCTCCTGATCTCACACTATCCTCCATCTTCATACCTTAATACATAAACTAAATCTCATAATCCCCATGCAAAAGTCACATTTAAATATTACCAAAATTATTCATAACTCCAAATTCTATATTTACTTATTCAACATTGGTAGATCTGAAATATAACTTAAAACAAAAAACAAAAATCCTAACCTTATATGCAAAAGCGGCAGAATATTTTCGAAGATAAATTCAGGAGCGAGTGAGGAAAAATCGGCGATCATTACCTGGCTGGAAAGTTTCGGCTATTTGTCAGTTTCAGTTTCACTGGAAAAGAGATGCTATGGAAAACCCTCAAAATCTTGCAAACAGCAGGTCAAGAAAGCAGAAAAAATGGTACCATTTTGAATGCATCATCCCTGTTACATTTTGCAGAAGAGAGTATTTCAAGAAAAAGAGAGGCTCTTATAATTCTGGTTCATTATCCATAAAAGAGGAGGAAGAAGTGACAAACGATGAAATTACTGGAATTTTCCAGTAATTAGCAGCGATAAAATGTCCATAATCCCATCACCATTACCATCAGCTTTATCATCTTCATCGGGGAGGAAATCAAGATGGTACTTGTTCTTGTTCGGAATTACTAAATTTCCAACGAAGAGGAAAATTTTGAGAGAAAAAAAGAGAGCTTAGTAGATAGCCCTAAATTGGAGGAGAATTATAAATGGGGTGGGTCGGATAATGGGGCGTGTAATATTACCCATATTTGTTGTCTTACCCAAAGAGCCACGTGGCCCAATAAAAAGATGCCAACACATTAAAATCGTGACCCACAGGTTCAACCGTTAAATCGAGGGGTAATTTTAAAAGGGTAGCCCGGCGCACAAAGCATCCCACATTCACGCAGGGTCTGGCCGCACACCAAGGGGTGTGATGTAGACAACCTACCCTAACGCAAGCATTAGTGGTTGCTTCCGCGGCACGGATCGTGATTTATAAGTCACTCGTAGATAACTTTACAGTTGCTACAAGGCTCGAGGGGTAATTTTAGCAGTCAAATAACAACGGGGGTATTTTGGACCAAAAAGTGAATGAAGGGTAATTTTAAATCATTTACCAAACGATAGGAGTAATTTTGACCCCTTTTCCATGCTAGAATTCATCTCCTCCCAACGATCAATTCACCTTCAGTCTTTGGTGTATGGACTAATTCCCGTATCTAGTGTAGCTCTCTAGAACTTAAAATCAAGACCTCTCTCAATAGCAATTGCCTAAATACCTTTTAATTTCTGATTAGCTTCTTCGGCGTAACAAAAGCCCTGTTCAGATCCTCTCACTACAAAGTAATATAGAACGTCCTTGATATTCCTCCATAGAAATGATATAGAAACATGGACTTCCCCTGCCCCGATCATCTTGACTAGTAAAACACCTTGTATACAACAGTTTATGTAGAAGTGGCTGTAGAAACAGATCTTGCTTTCATCGCACCCAATCTAGTCGATCAGTTCAGCTCTCTCGGCAAGTAGCTTTGAATTCAATCATGTTCCCCAAGTCTTTATGCAGCTTCAGATCAATATCATGTCACTGCAAGTTGCTATGCAAACTTCAGATAACATACAACTTTGTTCATGTTAAAATTTCATTCTCTTCCTGACTGAAGAATGATATTAGATCAGATTGTGTCCATGAAGAGTGATGAGACGCCATTTGTTTCTATTAATCTAGTTTTTGTCTTCTCACTTTACACTTATTCACTGATTCTTGCAGGGCCCACGAATGGTTCGTGATGTCTTTCGCCTTGCCAAAGAAAATGCTCCAGCAATCATATTTATTGATGAGGTTGATGCAATTGCTACTGCTAGGTTCGATGCTCAGACTGGAGCTGATAGAGAGGTCCAGCGTATCCTCATGGAGCTACTAAATCAGGTAGGCTTTTGTACATAGATTTAAAGTAGTTCTGGAAGAATACAAAACTCTGCATTGTTTGATGAGCCACCTTTTCCCCTTGGGTTTGTATTCTGTAGATGGATGGGTTTGACCAAACGGTGAATGTGAAAGTTATTATGGCAACTAATAGAGCTGACACACTGGACCCTGCACTTTTACGTCCTGGAAGGCTTGATCGGAAGATCGAATTTCCTTTGCCTGATAGACGTCAAAAGAGGCTCGTTTTTCAGGTGGGGTTTTGGTTTATGTTATATTATGATGTCTTCTTCTTCTTCTTATTCGTTCTCCTCCCCTAAAAAGAAGTGAAGAGAAAAATATTGTAGAAAGTTTAGATAGATGGATTTCTGAATTGCTTTTCTGCTTCTGCTGCAGTCTACCTGTGTTTCGTACAAATGAACCAAGCTAATGCTGGATTATTTTTTTGGCAGGTATGCACTGCTAAGATGAACTTAGGTGATGAGGTTGACTTGGAAGATTATGTTTCTCGCCCTGATAAAATCAGTGCTGCTGAGGTTTGTCTTTTAACTCTATAATTTTATTGGGCGACTGTAGGATGCTCTGGTAATGATAAAAAATTTGGAAGCCCCCACCAAACCCCCAACCTCCAATCCCAATGAGCTAATTTTTCTTTTTTAATTGGCTGTAACAGTTTTTTCCTTCATTTCTGCAAGACAGAAATAAAATATGCTGGACTACTAATGCGAAATGAAAATGAATTGAAATTTGTGGGTGCATTAGTAATGTATGTTGCAATATTTGCAGATTTCGGCCATCTGTCAAGAAGCTGGTATGCATGCAGTGCGCAAGAATCGATATGTCATACTTCCCAAGGACTTCGAAAAGGGTTACAGGACCAACGTTAAGAAGCCTGACACTGACTTTGAATTCTACAAGTGATTATTGTTAAAGGCTAAGCAAATACTTTAGAAATCTAATATGTATGCCCCTGAATGTTTTCTTTGTAGTCCTGGTGTATTGGATATTAAATGGCTGGTTGCAGCCTTTTAGTACAATAGTTCTTTCACTCTGAAAGTGTTAGTTAGGCTGTCTATTGTTTGAATTTGGGTGCGCGCATCTTATTTGCTGTTCACGTGCTGTCTCAAGCCATAAGTTTTTCTCATTGTAAGGGAGGTTTGCTAAGATACATTGAGTTCCCAATGATGCATTTCCTGTGGGATGTCTTGTTGTCCCACAAGTAGTGGCGGTTTTAGAACTAGGCACTGAGTTCTGAGTTGAAAGTGTGCACGTTCTAATTGCAGAAACACCCTTTTGTTTTCCCTACATATATAGAGTTTGACGGAAGCACTGGGTTCTGCTGGACGTACGAACTTATTGTTAGATCTCCACTGCGTCCGACTTCTCTAACTGCAGAAATACCCTTTTGTTTTATGACTTACTGTTCTACTGGCCTTATGTTTAGAGGTAAATCTGCAGAGTGCATCACATATAAGGTTATCTGTGAGATGAACTGGTCTCCTCGAGATGCATATGCTGTTGGGAGTGGTAGAAAATGACCACTCAATTTGAGTTGGATCTAAAATTTCTTCGCAAGTCTAGTCGCTGGAAATACTTGACGGTTCAGAAAAAATTCTGGAGGAGTGGGCATGCATTTTTATTTTAGGATGGTTATGTTATCTGCATATTGTATTTCTTTAAAGTTTTCATAGTGGATCTCATTAATTTTGGCAAATTGCTTTTCTGACACCACAATATGGAACAAAATAATATGATCCGTGTAATTTCTTTTACTTTTTATTCTTTTAAATTACGAGAGTGGGGTAAAGGGGAATGCTACATTACTGATGGAGTTTGAACCCTCAATTTCAACTTCAACTGTTGACGGCAGAGAGCTTACCAAATGGGTTAGCCAGGGGCGGAGGGAGAGTAGAACCTACGGGTTCGGTCGAACCCAATAGCTTTGGTCCAAATCATGTATTTGTCTTAAGAAATTAATTGAACAATGTATAAATTATTAATTTAGAATCCAATAACTTAAAAGTTTTAGAATCCCGAATCCATAAGTTTCAAGTCCTGTCTCTGCCTCTAGGATTAGCCCTCAACTCCGATGCATGAGCTAACCAACTGTTGCGTTTAGTTTCTTAGTTTTGTTTTTGGTCCTTTTCAGTGGTGCAAGTAAATTGTTAAGAGTACTCATTTTATGGAAGAAGTCTACTCTTTCAGTTATACTTTGTTTCAGAAAAATTAGACACTTGGAAGAGAAAAATAATATAGACATACACATCAATAGTTTGATTAAAATGGCGAGAATCATAAACATTTTGACAAGTGTAAGGAGTACTGATTTTAAAAGTAATGATTGAGTGGCACTTGCTTCCCTCAAATTTTCATTAGTAAGATGTGAATATTCTTTGCATAATAATTGACCATGGCTACGCGCGACGCGTCATAATATTTTACTAATGTATTCGTGGGTCAATTTCCACTGCCGAGTGCCGACTCCAACTTTTTCTCCATAATATAACTTGGAAATAGTTACTACAAGATTCCATTGCCCACCGAAAGAAAACAGTCTCCGCATCTTTTCTTTTTCTTCCTTCTTGTTGGAGTATAAAATATTCCATTGGTCCTTTCAACTTTCAAGGACAACGAAAAAGAAAAGAAAGAAATACAAAAAAGGGATCAGATTCGGACCCGAATTTGTAAAGGATTTGCATATATACCCATTTTTGAGATGCTATACTCGTATTGCATATCAAACATGTAAGTTTACTCGTTTTATGATCAACTTCAGACTTAATGGACCTGAAGTTAAAAAAATTCGCGTATGAAGTTGCAAACGTAAGATGCACTTAATTTTTTAATTTGTAATGCAAAACTTGTATTTAAGATGCATTTAAGACATTATTGATTTGAAGTGCAGCTGATTTTTACATGCACTTAACACCTTTTAGTTTAAAATGCAAATTGCTCGAAACAAAAATTTGTTTTTTCGAATTTCGACAATCCACCACAAGATGCAACATCCAAATCTCTTTCAAATGAGCTCAAATTTGAAACATAACTTTCTAATATCATAAAAAAAAATCCCAACGTTTGCCAAAACAATAACAAATCTAACAAATCCATTTTGCAACTAAGAAGAAGAGGAGGAAGAAACTCTTTGTTTTTACAGCAACTAAAAAAAAGAAGGAAAAAAAAGTCTGAAGTTATTTGTACTTTGGGGTACTAAGAGCACGTTTGGACAGTGCCGGAGCCACCTTATAGGAAGGCCCCTTCGCGGAAAAAATATACTGTGTAGCTAGATAAAAAAATAAATTATATGTATATATACTATGTATTGACTCCCCTTAATTTCCTGGTATGTTTACTTTTATATATTTTGATACCCCTTAACGAAAATTCTGGCTCCACCACTGGTTTGGACATAAGAATTTTTTTCCCTTTTCCCAAAAAAAAATCACTTTTTTTCCGAAATCAGCGTTTGTTCATAAAATTTCCAATTTTCACTTGAAGATGCATTTTGGAAATTTTCGAAAATTTGAAAAACTCCAAAAAGCTGTTTTTCAAAATTTTCGCTCAAATCACTCACAAAACTTAAAAAACAACCCAAATTTATATTCATGTCCAAACACAACTCTAAATTTCAAATACTATTTTTACCTGAATTTTTTTCCCCTATTTGGAATTTTACAATTCTTATGTCCAAACAACCACTAATTATAATTTTTAAATAAAGTTGGTATAAGTTAAATAGTGACGACCAAATAGGGTGCCCATAAATTTTTTTACATTTGTTAAAAACAAAGTTTGAAAATGCAGAAGAATTTGAAAATTTTAAAGCCAAAGTCCCAATAATAAGGTCACATTTGCTTAGGAGTTAGCAGAAATTCACTATACGAAGTAGTTTTGAAGATGGCGGAAATCGGTTTTCTAAGCTAGCGTTTGGCCGTAGAGTTCCAAATTTGTTTTGAAAAATCTGATTTGGGTGAAGTTTGGTTTGAAGATGAATATGTGTTTGGACATGATTTTTTAAAACATATTTCACTTTTTAGTTGAAAAAACATGAAACATGACGTATACCCCACAAGTTCTAAAAATTATCATAAATACCCAATAGTACCATTATCACAAACCATAGTCCTGAACATAAATAAGTTTGGTATAAAATTATCATTTTTATAATGAACTATATAAATCATTAATTACAATGAAATCCCATTAGAGAATTACGGCTCCTAATTAAAAAGAAAAAGTTAACTGATATGAGTATTCAGAAAGCCATTTAGCCTACAAATCAGAAGTAAAAGTAAGATGCACAAAGGATTGAGCTGATAAGGGAGCATATTCATCAAATATTTAGTTGGTCGTAATAAATGTGGGCTCTTTTACAAACTATAAAAGTTTAGGGTAATATTTAAAAAAATTTTAAAATGTAGTGGTCATGTTTTGGCCCAAAATCACCAATTGATGTGATTTTGGGATTTTGAATTTGGGATTTGAGATTTTGCCAAAATGAGGGCAAAATCTATGGCCAAACATGTGTTTGCCAAATAAATCTCAAATTTATTTTGGCAAAACTCATGGCCAAACGGGTCCTAATTTTCCTGAAAAAGCCTTACCATTTCGAGCTTCTAAATTTGGAAAACTGGGTTTGAAAATCGTATACAAACAATAATAACATCGTGTTTTTCTTTTCATTTTTTGCCAAAACAACTCAAACTATTACTACTTTTTCGAAAATAGAAGACCTATATTCTCAAACTTAGCTGAGCATCCCTTAATAAAGGCCACAACAGGTGAATTTTTTTCATCTTAGAAAAGGAAATTACTTAGATAAGGTGTTTGTATCAAATTATACTATTAGTTATATGATTAGTAATAAAAACAAAGGGAGGATAGGTATAATTACTTATATACTAGTAGTAGATTAGAATAAACACCAGGTGTATAATTTTTTTTATTTTTTTATCTCTTGGTGTTGTTGGACATGTGCCCGGTGCAGTGGTATTAGTAGTGATGTACACAAGCTGATCCAAATACCGTTATCACAGAGGCAGATTTGAGATTTAAATTTTATGAGTTCAACCTTTAAATTAAAGTTTTTAGCATTAAATCTATTATATTTTTAAAGTTATAGGTTCATATATACTATCTCTGCAATTTTAATAAAGTTTTACATATAAAGTTATGCTATAGTGGTACATTCGTCTTGCATTGGCAATACTCTCTCTATCCCAATATATGTAACATACTTTCTATTTTAGTTTGTCCAAAAACATATGTTTTATAAGTAGAAATGATTGAATTTAAACTTACCATTATGTTAATAAGATAATTTATAGTACAAAATATTTATAATCAATTTAGATTAATAACAACAATAATAATAACAAACTCGTGTAATCCCATAAGTGAGGTTTAAGGAAGATAGTGTGTATGCAGACCTTATCCCTACCTTGTGACGGTAGAGATACTATTTTCAATAGACCCCCGGTTCAACGAAAGATGACAAAAGTAGTGATAATAAGCAGTAACAACAACAAAATAAAATGATAAGATACCAAAGTGGAATAAACAATAGGTAGTAATAGATAACTAAGAATAAGAGAATACGAAAAATAACACGAAAATTAAAGGTATATAATAAAAAATACGTTTGACTACCTACTAACTTTTTACCCTTATTTTCTACCCCACACCCTCTTAGCAAGGACCGAAGATGCGACATGTGTTGCCTGATCACTTCTCCTCAATACTTATACCCACCAAAGGCCAACCTCTCACACCACCTTACTGGGGCACCTGTGTCTCTCCTCTTCACGTGCCCATACCATCTCAACCTTACTTCCCGGATTTTTGTCCACCTCGGAGTCCACTCTCACCTTGTTCCTGGATTTCTTCATTCTTAATCTTATCTCACATGGTGTGCCCACATATCCATTTCATCATCCCTATTTATGCTACTTTCATCTTTTGGACATTGGAGTTCTTGACCGGCTAATACTCTGTCTCATTCAACATGATCAGTCTAACCAGCACTTTATAGAACTTACCCTTAAGTTTAAGTGACACAATTTTATCACACAAAATATCGGATGCGAGCCTCCATTTCATCCACTATGCCCAATACAATGGATAACATTGCCGTCAATCTTCCCTTTACCTTAGATAACTGACCCAA